TGGTCGATCCTCCCTGACTTCCTCCCCCAGCTCACACCGCCTCTCAGAGAGTGACACATCCCTTGTTTCACTAGGACGAAACATTCAAGGTTACCATGACGACACATCTCTGTCAGCTGGTGGAAACCTTTCTTTGCTGCTGACTCGCTCTTCATCAGATTCGGCTTTGAAAGGAAGCTTGTCATCCTCGCAAGGACCACAACAAAATGACTTCACAACTATAGAGCCTACCGCTCTCTCTTTGAGCAGAGATGAAAGTTTGAAGTCACGTGACCTCTGTGTGACCCCAAGGCGGGCTGAGCCTGAGGGCTGCAGTGCTGCAGACCCAGATAAGGCAAAGCCACCTACAGCCACATCTGCCGTGCAGATGAATGTTCCTTCGATACCAGGGAACCTTCTGCAGAACCAGAACCAGACTGAGGATGATGCGTTTGGCTCTTCAGAGAATAATTCGTCCCATGTCTCAGCTGAGGTTGAAAGTATGAGTGACAGTAGCAACGAGAGTTCATTGGCTGCCAGAGTTGCCAAACTCCTGCAGAGTGAGTCACCTGTTTCTATGGTTACAAGCCAGCCAAGCACCAGTGACCCAGAAGATAGCCATGCCCGAGGTAAACACAGTGATTTGTCTAACAGGACGTATAGTCATACAGGTTTTGTCAGTACCAGTGGTGCTTTTTTTAAGTGTCAGTGGTTTTTACATTGTGGATGACTAAATTTGGTCTGTCTCTTTAGAATGGATCCTGATGAAGGTTTCTGGCCGCCGATGTGAAAGCTTAGAACTAAACGCTGAGGACAGAGAGAGAATTGAAGACATCAAAAGAGAACTTCTACTGAACACCAAATACACTAAGGTAACATCCATGTGCCAACACAGAAAGGTCTGCCGATTTCATTCGTGTGAGTGTCAGCATTCTTACTGACTTGCTGATGTAGGTCGACCTGTCTGCCAAACTTTTGACATCTCAAATAAATATCACTAGGAATGTACAATAAACTGGCACCATATTGGTTTTGAATTTTTATTTGGTGTAGGTCGATAGTCCTATAAATTAACACGTGCGAGTCAAATCAATTAAAACTTATTGTCTAATAATTTAACCCTGTGAAGGCTAACATTTTTTTGAGGTTTTCATTTTTTGTTTGTTTTTTGTTTATTGAGCCTCTAGACAAAATATACTAAAACATGAGGCTTTTATTACTCATATAGTATGATATAGGAGAATATGGAGCTCATACTCACAAGGAAGAAAAAAACACCTCAGTTTTATTTGGAGGCTCAGTCTGAGCAAAAATATACAATTTGGTGCAGTTGTTGATATTTATATGGCCAAAAAGTAAGATGAAAATATGATAGCTTGTAAATCTGTGAGATCTTTATAACAGTATAGCAGACCACTTAGATAAAATGCATATAAAACAAAATCTCCTTAGATTATATTTAAATGCTTAGCTTTATTATCAAAGCTCAGTAGTTTAACCCATTTTTAGTCAATCAATGAAAAAGCCTGATGTGTCATATTTGATACATTTTAACATGATTTGTTAAAAAAATATGTATGGATAATCAAGTAAACTTTGATAAATCAAAAAAGTTGCTTCAGTCCATTGTTCACTTCATTGTTTGAGTGTTCATCTTAAAATATTACTAACAATATAAACGTTATTGTTAGGTTTACATTATAAGAATCAACAAAAACAGATGCAACAGGTTTTTAGCAAAGCTTTGACCATGTTGCTAATTTTTAAGGCTTCAGAAATTTGCTTATCAAATATGATACAGTGGGCTTTATAGGGTTCATAACACTGTTAAATGTAATCTTTAGCGAATCATTTTTTTTATAATAAACACTATAATGTTGTGATGCCTAAATTCACTTGTAGCATTTAACATAATTCTTTTAATTAATTTAGACAAAGTAAGATTTTTAATAAGGGCCACTTATCAGTAATTTGCCATAATATGAAACTATTAAGATCATTTAAATATCACACTTAATGGTGAGTCTGAAATAATATGAGTTTTGTTTCTGGTGTGGCAGACTGCATTATGGAAAGTCCTGATAGAGAGTGTTCAAGGTAAAGCTGTTGTTTGCATTTGTGTGACTTACTCTATGCTCTCATGCTTGCAGTGTTTCTACTGAATCTCCCATTTATCACTGTCTACTTCCCACAGTCCTCCCCAACCCTAGCTCTTATCAGTAGTAACACATCTTGTTCTCTTTCTCTTGCTTTGTTTATCAGTGGAGCTCAGATTCTGAGGGCAGTACTCAGTCAAGTGTTGGTCCTGAATCTCAGCTGACAAAGGGCTTTGTTGGACTGCGTAACATGGAGAATCATAACTCAGATCAGCTGCAGAAAGTTGATCCAAAACCTTTGGACAAAGTTCCATTTTACACACCTGTACAACAGGATCTAGAGGCCAAAGTTCACCAGATCGCTCTTAGAGAGGGGCTCAGCTCCCAGTCTTTTACTTCTATTACTATAGCAACCACTCACCGCACTCCATCTCCTCAGTCACCGTCACATTGCCCTATCACTGCTACTGAGGAATTGGACAATATTGTTCCTGACCATGAGACTCTAGAGAGCACAAGCCAAATGAGACTTCAGCCAGCTGTTATACCTAATGTATCTGGCAGAGAAAAAGAGACGGCGAGAGAAGGACAAAATAGAGAAGAGAAGAAAAGAGAAGAAATGACTGATGACAACAAAGAGAACATTGTTACGAATGATCCCCAGAGTATCCGAATAATACCTCACATGGACTATACTGTCACAGGCAGTAACCAGATATTATTCAGTGCTGCGTCAGGCTCAACCTTTGGCAAGAAGTCCCACAAGAGAGTGTAAGTGCAGTTGAATAGTGGGTTTGGGTTTGTAGTCACCAATCCAAACTATTTAAGCAGACTACCCAGTCAAAACACTAGTAAAGATGTCCCTCCTCCCGTGGTGTCAGGCATGACTGATGAACATCTGCAGTCCATACACCGAATCTCAACATCAAATCATGCCAGATCATATGAACACAGAGAGCCAATTCAAGGCCAGAATGCAGGAATAGTCAGTGCACACTTACAGGCCAGATACTCACAAACCTTTGCTCCCTCTCAGAGGCTGGCTGGGACATCCAGAACTCTCTCCATTCAAACAGGTATGTGTTGTAGATTTTATTCATATATGCTTTTCAGTGGCATTCGATGTTGGTAAATTAATCAATTGATTTATTTTTCTACTATGTAGCTGTCCCTGCCCTGTTGCCATACAAACCTCATGGGAGCTCCAAGCTGTTCTACATCCCGCAAGCTGATCCAGAGCTTTCTCCTGGTCGCTCTGACACAACTGTTGAAAGCTCTCACTCAGGTATGTCACAGAGAACTGTACACAGTTATTAGACTACAGCATCCTACATAACATTATCAGTTTATATGGAATGTGATCAAAGTTGCTGTTTGGTTATACGGCTACTTACCAAATAAATAACTGAATGGACATGAATATTGATTTGAGTCAAAAATTCTAAGCCATAAAACTAGCACAGCTCTAAGAAAATTGTTTGCTCAAGCTAATTGCCAGCACTGTTTATCTGTCATTAAACAAAAATGGCCACAAAATGCTGCATTTAATAAAATAAAAGTCCTCCTGGGGGCTGTGTAATAATGCTATTTAAAGCCGTCATGACATGAAAATTCACCCTTTTTATTTTCTAAATGCATTATTGATCTTATAGTGAACAATCCATCCATGCATGTTTTAAAATTGTACTAATTTGTTTTGATCTTGTAATATTTAATTGAAATATTATAACTTGAATTTCCGGTAAAAGGAAAAACATCTCTCTGGTGACGTACACTGTTATTTTAGCATCATTTAAATACTATTTTAGTATTTATAAATGATTTTGAATAAGCTTTAATTTTTATATTTTCGTTGTGATTTTAGTTTTAGTCATTTTATTGTGCTTTTTTATACTTTTTTATACATTTATTTTTATATGTTTAGCTTTTTATATATTTGTATGTTTAGCTTTCATTTATTTTATTTCAGTTTCAGTTTTTGTCATTTTATTATTTCAACTTGTTTTAGCTAGTTGCAAAGTTTGCTAGGCTTCTCCAATCATTTAGTCTGCCTAAACCCTGCCCCTTTTTATAGCTGACTGAAAGTTTATATTCAGATCTGCCTCCATCCAATTAAACAACCAATGGATTGAACCAAGTCCCTGTCATACATTTTTTACAACATTATTTCGTGGATCACTCAGTTAGGATGGATCACTCAGGAAATTACGGATATAATGCTGAGGATACTATATAGATCATTAGAGAATGCATCATTGCTGGACAAACCTTTAATCCATGTGTACCTGTTTTGTCTCACAGAGCTCTGATATATATATATATATATATATATAAAAAAGTCAAATTTGCCATATATAATCAGTGATTGACTAGAAATGACGGTTCAATACTAAGGATTTTTTTCTGCTGGCCCTGCCACAAAAAAAAAAGTTTCCTTTATCATTGTTTTTGATCTATGTTATCTTGTATTTTAATAAATAAGTTTATATGACACCAATATTTTAGATACAAATAAAATTGTACAATTCTCGATTTCAATTTCAGCCAAAACTACTAGCCTGACAAATATAAAGTTCAATCATTATTAAAGAATAAGAACAAATGAACAAATTACAAGTAATAACACCACTGAACATATAGAACAAAGATACAAATTAAATTATTTAGGATTTTATGTTTGTAGGTGTTCAGGTACAGAAATTGAATAATCACATATAAAATAATATTTCCATATACTTCACTGTGTTGCACCTTGATTTTTCATAGCCATTTCAAATTAGTTGTAACTTAACCACTGTATTTTAATCATGAATCGATCCAAAAAAAAAGATTATACACACTTGTAGCATGTGCAATATTTGATTTAAATTAGACTGTATAATTTCAAAATTTGAAGCAAAAACAGAATGGTCTGACTTTATCTTTGTGAAATTATGCTACATAAAACACCTGCTCGAAACCAAAACAGCAGACGGGCTTAACGAGATGCAATTTCACTCTCTGCCAGCAGGCGGCTCTCAGGGAACAGCAGCATTTACTTGGTTACTGCTGTACACATAGCAGTGCTGTGCATATTAGCACTGCTTTAAATGCGTTATACTGAGCCAAGATGAAAAGAAAATGCAATGTAAACTTTTCTGAAAACAGTCAGTTCCCCTCAGAAACACATCCATATAAAATTAAATATTTAGGATTTTCTTCCTATATTACACGCGTCGTGAACAGTGATCTTGCTCTTCCTACTACAGTATTTTCTCCTCTTTGCATTCATATTCAGCGTCGCTGGCCTCTGTTTACAGACTAAATATAATAATAACATAATATTTCCACACAAATGACATTTAGAAAAAATTATTGCGATGCAATTTGTGTGCAAGCATGGAACAGAGATAGTCTGAAATAAAACAAAAAATGATCGATGCATCTCTATTCCACTGTATAAATTAAATATAGATTAATCATTGTTAGAGTTACAAAGTTACTCGCCAAGACGGGTATTTTGACACATTTTTGTATATATTTGTACGTTCAAGTGAAAGAAATACACGGAAAGAACTCAACTCGTGGATTGGCCGTCAGAAACGCAGCAGTCCTAATTGTCGAGCCCTGCTTTCACCTCTACTGGCCCCTCCCCCCGAGTCTTGCAGATGGTTCAGGCTCTCACCCAGTCCTGCATTATTCATGGTCTTTGTGAAAGGCAATCCAGCAATACATGCCTCATCTGATCCACATGGGCCCCTCTGCTTCAGTGCTGTTTACTCTCTGTTTGATCCAGCTCTCTCATGCTCTGTCCTTTTCTCTCTCGCTCCCTTTGCAGGTTCTGATGATGCTGTCCCTCCACACTTTAATACAGACATTTTAGGCTCTAGAGAGCTAGAAGACAACATAATTACACCAAAACACAAGGAAGGCATCTACAGTAAGAGGGCCGATATGAAGAGAGGTAAGATGCACATTAGTGTTTCTATGAGTTGTACAATATTTGCTGAATTTAAAGAATCGTTCACCAAATAAAATTAAATGTTCATTATTTACTCACCCACATGTGTGACAATATGACATTTTTTGTAATAGAAAATATTTTAAAGAATATCTCGACTGCTTTTTTCCATAAAATGAAAGCACGTAGTGACTGTCAAGCTCAGCAACCCAACGTAAAAGCACAATATAAGTCTTCTGATGCCATACGAGCAGAATTTATTTGTATGAACTACAAATTGTCTTAGTTTCATATGGATTTGAAATGACATTGTAAATAAATGCTGATGGATTTTTTGGGGTGAGCTATTCCTTCAGTTTTCACTATACTTTGCTATGGACTGTTGCTATTACAAATAAAACATTAGCATATGATCTTCTCTGTCTTCTCTCGCCGACCAAAATGACAATACTGCTCCTGAAGTTTATGTTTCTGAGAAGAACATGGACACTGTTGGCATAGATGAGGTGTATAAAGATGAGGAAGAAAAGTTTGTCCCCTTACACATGGAGGCAGACTACAGTACAGATGATGTGCATCTTCACAGCAGCACCATGCAGGAGCCCAAGTTTCCACTAGAACCACACCATTTACCTTCTCAGCCAATCAGAAAGCCCTACAGGGTGAACAAGAAAGAGCAGGACAGAACACCTCATGATGTTAGCATAGAGATTAGCAGTTCTCTGGACCAGCTGTGGCGTCGCTTCAGTGAAAAATGGAGCATGGAGGAGACACGACCAACTAATGAGGGAGAGACATCTCTGCTTGATAGACTAGAGCGTCTGTCTCGTCTAATTCACAATACCTCTCCAAAAGACCAAATTATACAACAAGCAGACAGCAGGAACGGAGAGTGTTACAGGAGGAGTCATCGAGAGGATGGGACCACAGAGGGAGGAGAGCAAAGAGAAAGAGTTCAGTTAGAAGTGACTCCACAACAAGCTTGGCCTGAGCATGAAGAGAGCCAGGAGAGAGTGCATCGCTGTCCTGCCGAGAGAGATGAGTCTGCGAGTGTGGAGACAAGCAGTAGCCTGTCCACCATTGACACAGAGCGGCTGCTGCGAGCTTTTGGACCTCACCGGGTCACCAGTAAAGGACTGAAAAGCAGTGACCGCTTGCTCAGACTTTACAACACCATCAATATGCAGAAAACTGTCCGAAGGAAACCCAGTACTAAACATGCTGCCATCTCTGTTGCTACCGATGATGTGAGCACGGATGACTCCACAGTAAGTCTTTGCTTGATTTAATTCCTTTATACAGACTGTTTTGAAAGATAATCAACAGATTGAAAAGAAAGATGCTACTTTGTTACACATCTCACTATGTTTAGCCTTCTGACCGTATTCAATTCACATTGTTTTTAGATTGCCTCTTTGCTTTTAAAATTACTTAAAATTATCATTTGTTTCAAACAAGAGGAACAATGATTTCCACAAACACTTTGTAGCTCAGTTTAAATAAGTAAAATAGAGTTAAAATCTGATAATCATTTTCACTAATAACACAATGCATACTACTGAACAGCAGTATTTTCCTGCATACACTACCATTCAAAATGTTGGGGTCGGTAAGATGTTTTTTTTTTCTTTTAATGTTTTTGAAAGAAGCCTGTTATGCTCACCAATGCTGCATTTAATTAACAAAATACACAGTGAAAACAGTAATATTGTAAAATGTTGTTTCAATTTAAAATTGTTTTCTGTTTTAATGTAATTTCGGTGATTTTTGGAGTCATTACTCCAGGCTTCAGTGTCACACAGTGTTCAGAAATCATTCTAATATGCTGGTTTGATGCCCAGGAAACATTTCTTATTATTATCAATGTTGAAAACAGTTGCACTGCTTAATATTTTTGTGTAACTTTTTTTTCAGGTTTCTTTGATGAATAGAAAGTTCAAGAACAACATCTGTTTGACAGAAATCTTTATTATAAATTTAATGAGTCCGTGCTGAATAAAAGTATTTAAAAGTCTTTAAAACAAACAAGCAATAAATCTTACTGTCCCCAAACTTTTGAAAGGTAGTGTATGTTTTCACTAAAATGTTTTAATGTGTGAAAAATGCCGCTTTTTGGTGCCATGTGCTGACTTCAGTGAACATTTTTGAGTGGTGATTCAAAGAATTGTTTCATAAGAGTTTTGAATCAATTCATACAAATTATCAGTTTGAAATGATTAACAGAAATACAAATTTTCTCATCATTTCAAATACATATACTGTCTTAGTGCTCTCAGTGGGACTGGAAGAGGTTGCGAAACTAGTTTAATGACATTGCCTGGGGACAATGTCACACAATAGCTAAATAAAAACTCCATTAAAAATCCTATTATTCATTTTATACTGTCAGTAAAATAATCACTCATGTATTATGTGTACAGAATATCTGGTGTGAATTACAGTAGTAGCTTATTCTCTGCATTTTTTACTGAGAGACCATCATCTTTTCCTTATCTAACTGTCCAATCTTCTGTTATTGTTCCAGGTCTCTGCTGATTCATTATCATCTTCAAGCACTTTTTCCCATTATTCTCAAAGAGGTATCTCCAAAAACCTCAATTCCAAAAGGTCAAAGGTCAAACTGGTCAGCAAAGGTGTACAGGCAGGTCAGTTACACAACAACGGTCCACTTTTAAACTAAGCGACGTGTATATTAGACAGAGTAACTGCAACAAAATATGTCGTGTGGGATTTTATATTCTTTTTGCAGGTGATTTGGAAATTGTTATAAATGGCACCCGCAGACACACTCGGGACGTAGGCACCATCTTTCCCTCACCAGGTGCTTTCAAAAATATCCATTTAACAAACACATTTGGCAGAGACATTCAGAGTGGCTTTCCCATCCCCACTGCTTCCACATCTAAACCCACCCAAACCCTGACTGCTCTGAAGAAAGACACCAGCAACAAGAGCATCCGGACCCGTTACCCAAACGGTGCATATTACAAGCCCACGGACACAGCATGTTTCTGCAACTGATCTTTTTCTCCATTTCTCTTACTGTTTTATATTTCGCGTTCTCTTTAAGGTGCATCATGGTTTGTCTCCGCTGATGAGCTTAGGTGTGATGGTCGCAAGGAAAATCAGCCACAGAGTGAATCAGCACCTTGCCCAAGCCAAGCCTGGTTTGAGCCTTACAGTAGAACCAAACCCTGGAGAGAAACGACCAGAGAACCTCTAAGAGAGAGACAGAATCAGCAAGAGTCCATAACGGCTACGGAGACCGACATCAGTGACAAACCCTCAGCTCTTGTTCAAATTTCACTACAGGTGTGACAAGCAACTGTTTTATTTACATGTTTTAAAGCCTGTTCACACCAAGGACGATAAGTGTAATGATAACTAGAACAATATCATTGTTGAATCACTTTTAGAACATATTTTCCAGCTGATGAATGATAAAAACATTGACAGCAAATCATAATCCATCCGACTTTAAAAAGCTTGAGCATTTAAAGTGGCAGACGACATAAATGCAGCAGGTGCTTATTATAAATGGAATATAATATCGCACCTGAAGATGTGAGCGCTAATATCATTATTTGTGTAAACGTGCCTTTACTCTGATTTGAAGCTTGGGCCTGATTTGGAGCTAGTGTTCATTTTGGACCATAGCTGTGTGGTTTTAGAGAGTACATGGATGTTGACTGTTGATTTTAATCTAACATTGAGCATTTGCATTCCTACAGGAAGCTCTGGAGCTCCATCGGCCAGCGTTTGTATCTCGTTCACGGGAGCGGATGAAGCGTCTGGGGTTGCTGGTTGAAGAGAGGAGATTACAGGCGGTCTTCAACAGAGAGAGAGAAGAGCTCTTCAATTGCCCCGCACCATCACGTCCATACAGACCAGGTGACTTTATACCATAAGATTACTTGTGTTAGTATTATGAGTAGTCAGTTCAGTAGATATTTTACAAGCTTGGTTCAGCTTGCATTAAGATGTAAACTAAAACATGCCATGTCAGCAGCTCCAGTACCCCATAAACGAGCCGTTCCAAGAAAAGAGATGGTCCAAAGATCTAAAGAGTAAGTATCCATTATCTCATTTCCAAACCATCTAGATGGTTTATGACACAGACACAGCGCATATTACCAAATTGTGCATATATGGGTCATTTAACAGATTTAAATGACTTTTTGATGTTTTATTTGCAAGTTGTTTTGTGCCTTCTACATGCTTTCAGTTGGGTAGGGAGGAAATCACACAGTCAGAGAATAGACAGAACAGACAGACTCAGGAGGTAATAATATGTGTGTTTGTTTTGTGTTTGAGTGTGTCTCTATCAGTTTTATTAACATTAACTAAAAGTAAAGCCATAAAAAGAAAACCATAAAAAACATTTAGCAACTTTCCAAGACAACATTTCTCATTTTTGTTTAGTTTAAGTCAGTGTAAGACATATTTAAGTACTAAAGTAACTTAGACTAAACTATATAGACCTTTTTTCTTAACTAATAGAAATGACAAAAACACACAACAGAATTACTAACACTTTTTAAAATTAAAATTAAAACACTAAATATAAAAATGAAATTCAATTCAAAATATTAACAAAAACTATAATAGTAAATGCAAAAATAAAAATAGTAAAAATATAATAGTCAATGCTACTAAAATAATACAGATCTATATCCATCTTTTATTTTAAAGTTTCTATTTTTATGTGTGATATCTCTGATTCGAGAGGCCCAGTCTGAGGCATAAGGACTTCAACTACACTCTGTTTCAACGTTTTATATGGATATTATTGACTCCAATAATTTTACACTTTAATTGCCAAATAAATATCTATTTGCTCAGGAAATACGCTCAACTTCCTGAGGTCCAGAAGAGAAGGGAGGAGGAAAGGAGACGGGCGGAGTACCATTCCTACCGCCTCAACGCTCAACTCTTTAACAAGGTATACAGGCTGTTCTGGAGTAGGAGTCACACACAATGGTCCAGGCACAGTAATACTGACCGTTTTTAAATCAATATTGTTTCAAGCATTTCAGATAGACACATGACCAGTTTGATTAACATTTCTAATGCATGCCATCTTTCTTCTGCAGAAAGTCACCAATCATGTGTTGGGAAGGAGAGCACCCTGGCAGTGAGCTAGAATCAACTCAACATTTCAAAAAGCCTTACCGTTCGTTGAATGTGACATGTCCTCTGAGTGTTTTATATGGGGTGATATTTTAGAATGGTTGTGTGTTATGCGAGTGTGCTTAGATATATGTGTGCATTCTGATTTTAGGTGTTCTGATTTTATTTTATATAACTGATTTTGTGTTATTTATGGAGTTGCAGTGTTGGGTTGTTTCATTATGTCTCTTATAGTTGCAAAATTATTTTTTTATTATGTCTGTTTTTGCTAAGTTTTAACCATATTTTTATGAGGTAAATAAATAAGCAGCTATTTGTAAGAGCTTTTGTGTTTGTGTGCTTTTTTTTAAGTGCAAGTAGGTGAATGCTTATTAACAATACAAATTGTTTAATAAGCAATTTATTGTTATGCATATCTAAGTTATGCATATCTAAAAAGAGAATGAGGCCACAATATAATGGTCACTACAAAAAGATAATAGCTTTTTACTCTAAAATGTGCGTTATTACAATATGAAGTACATGCACAGTACTTTATTGCATGTGGAGGGCTGCATTATGTTATTGATAATTAGTAAAGATAATTTTTCATCCGTATTTCAGTTGGTCACAAATGTTTGATACAACATTAAAAATAGTTAAGATTTCAAAACCTTGACAATAAAGTTTATTAAAGATTTTATGGAAAATAAAAAGTTTCCAGCTTGTTTATACCAGGTCAATAAACGCTGCTGATCAAAGCACAGAGAGAAGATGCCGGTTAAAAAAGGAAAGAAAGGAAAAGGGTGAGTAAAAACGCATTGATCTGTTCGTTGATTCCAATATATCCTTGCGTTTGTTTGGAAAAACTGCGAATCCAACTAGTTTGAATAACTGGAAAAGTATATCTGACTGCATAGTTTACTTTATGATCTTGATTATTCGCATCTGTCTATCTATATATAACGTTATATACATATAGAAAAGGAAAGAAAGATGGCAAGCAATAGTCAAAACGAGATAAGGAGTCTGATACAGAGAGGGCAAAAGCAAACACGGCTCTGTGGGAGGCCAGGTGTGATTTGACTAGGGTTCACGCGTGGAGTAACGTTACCGTGAAACACAAAATCACCCAGCAGCTCACTGATCTACTGCACAACACTGAGAAGAACAGCATCGAGATCATCGCTGCTCTGAGGAACAAAGACCTGCAAAACGAGGAGAAGGCATTTCATGCATTTGATCATTACAGCTACAGTACATACACACATGGTTTTCTTTTCAAGTCTTATTCTCATATTGTTAATCATATTGTTAAATGGTTAATTTATCCTACATTGGAAATGTCATCATCTGCTTCCAAAAGTTTACAAAGAGGTCATAAAAGTAATCCATATGAATCAAACAGTTTAATACAAATCTTCTGAGGAGACACGATTGCTTTATGTAATAGGTTTAATTTGATATAAACGTTGCACATATTATAAATTGAAACATGTTTGCGTCACACTCAAGAACCAATGAGGTTTGTTCTTGCACATCAAGCAAGTACAGTTGAGCGTTTATACTGTATGATGTGCCCTATGTATGTACACTGATCAATGTTTATATGTGAATAAAAGCCTAAATTAAACTTCGACTTCATCATATAAAGTGATTGTGTCTCTTCAGAAGACTTGGATTATTAAACCTCTTGGCTCCTATGGAAGACTTTTATGATCTCTTAAAGGGGTCATATGATGCGATTTAAATTTTTCCTTTCTCTTTGGAGTGTTACAAGCTCTTGGTGCATGAAGAAGATCTGTAAAGTTGCAAAGACTAAAGTCTCAAATCCAAAGAGATATTCTTTATAAAAGTTCAACCTAAAACGGCTCGTTCTAACACGCCCCCACATGACTATGTAACTATGTGGGAAGATTTGCATAACGCCACCCAAATGTTCACGCAAAAAAAGAAGGCATAACTTTTATTCTCACTGTAGTATTTTTGCCGCTGCCGCCATGTCGTGAAAGCGTTGTGTGCTTCGTTGAGAAAGCGAAACTACTTTGTTTGGTCTTCCAAAAGAGGACGATATCCGCTTCGTCATGCCTAGAGCTGATCCGTGCTGGTTGCTGAGGAAATACTACAACTTAGTGCTGTGGATCGCCGGATCGGCTTTCACCGTGGATGAAGCGGAGTCCAGCCCGGGGTCGTCACATGTGGTTGCCGCAAGCTCGCCGGACGCTCCTTCGTTGAATCCGCCGGCCGCTCCGTTCTCAAGCCCGCCTGCCTCTGCTCACTCAAGCCGGCCTCCGCATACTCTAGGCTGCGGTGTGTGACGCTGTGTTTCGTTGTGAAAGCGAAACTACTTTGTTTGG